GAAGCTGTTAAGAACAGCTGATCCTATCAACATATCCATTTTAAATAGCTCGCACTCTACATACTAATGTCCGGAAGATTGCGATAGTTTAATGTCTGTGACTATGCGATCCGCAGGTCATATTTATTCTGCAGGAGGACTAAATCAAGTTAAAAGGCTGCTTATGAAAGTAGAAACATATCATTAAACATTCATTTTATCTTTAGACACGTTCTCTGGCCTAATGATTTCATTTTGGCGGTACAAGGCTACAGCTAGATCACACATTTGATCAACTGCATTCATTATCAGTCATTTAAGACATCTGGAAGCATTTGACCTACAATAGACATGTGTATTCAACCTCAAACAGACTGCAAAAATGTGCAGTTATTCTACAAACACTAAACTCAAAGCAATGGGTTATGAATCTCTGTTAGTCAGAAGCAAAAATGGTTTATAAATTGTTGATTAACAAATAGTCCCATTAGCCTATGCTGGTAGATTTTGTAACTACACCATCTGGCATTAAAAAACACCAAAAAAAAAAAAATGCAAACACATTTAAACCCCAAATCGCTTTAGTATATTTAGTACTTTTTGAGGGCTCTTGAAAGCATTCTTTGACATCACGTTTCTGCAAAATCCTGCCTCATCTTTAAAACCACCTTGTAATATGCATTCCTAAAATGTGTTGCTAAGCAGATTTTTTTTTTGTGCCTCACTTTTTGTCCCTATGAGGCAAAAGGCTCTATTTTATAAAAACGGACTCTGAAGTGGATGCAGTGGCAGTCTGTCCTTTTCTAAAGTAAGTAGTTTGCATCAAGTCACCTCTATAAAAGCAATTCAGCAATGTGCTTTACAAGATCAAAATGATAGACTGGAATTTGAAGCATTCTCTTTGTTCCCCCAAGAGGAACAGCTTATTCCAGGTTGGTGGTTCTCTGAAGAGGACTGTCTAACCTGGAAATCAAAGCATCAGGACGGAGACGATGCAAAACAGTCTCCTTCAGTTAAACTTCCCCTGTCTCTCTGCAGTTTCTAAGACAAACCTGTCAACCCATTATATATCACTTTAATGGGTATTATATACCCATTATATATCACTTATAGATCATGATATACCATGAACTTAAAAGGGTTACGACACATATTTTTTTTATTATTATAATAAGTTACGTGAGGTTCATTTATAATGTTAATAAAGTTTTTAGCACCAAGAAAAATAAATAGACATATGCAGGAAAAAAATATATTTTCAACCTTCATTCTAACCCTCAGTCTGAAATGATCCGTTTTTAACTGTTATGATTGGCTAACGTCATTGCAAAGTATGAATGCTTTAAAAACATTATTCACTATTTACAGAATTTACAGAAATCATTTACAGAAATTCTCGATCCAGAATTGTTGGAGAGAGAATAAAAAAACACAATATCACATACATTAAAAATGAATTGTTCTTTCCTGTATGCCAGACCTACAGTATATGCGTAGCGGGCCAAGTTGATGCATGATCTTGCAGACTGCTTTTCTCTCGTGTGTCATATTACCAAGCTGCGATTACAAAATCGCGTTTCATCATATCGCGAAATTATTGCAAAATGCAATTAATCGTTCAGCCCAACAGTGGACGTCGTGGCCTATGGTACGATGATGTCACACTATAACTATTGCCCTTTATTTGCCCACCTCACATCACAGACCACACAATTTTAAAACAAGCCATTTTTGGAGCTTGATTACATTTTTTTTTTTTAATAATGGGTAGGACATTTTAATTTTAACTACTGTATTAGATACCAATATACAGATAAACTGAAAAAAAAGTCATTCCATTATGTAATCCACAGTTTTATCTGTTGCAAGGCAAATAATCTGCTGGATAGCAGCCAAAAATCGAACAGATTATCAAAAGCTTCCCTTTATCATCTCATTTTTTTGTAGCTCTGAAAAATTACTTTGCTTTGTTGCACTAAAATATATGCTGATAAATATCCATTCTTTTTTCACATTGTAAAAAAAATCTAAAAATTAAGTATTCTAATCATTTGTGCAAGTTCTTTCGCAATGAATACTGCACTGGAATTGTGTCTTTTCAGAGAGGTCTAGACATTAGAGTTACACAGCAGGCACGGGCCATTAGCTAAAGTGCTTAGTCGTCAGTTGTTTCCAGGCCGCCTGGTGTTTAGGATAAGTTACGCTTGTATTGATCGCCGTTGTAATATTAATCACTTCCCTCTTAAAGGGTGTGACAAATTTTGTACCAATATAACTAAACTGTGAGAGACTCCTTGCCTGAACTCTTCTTAAACCCAGAAACTTCAGGAGTGAAAGTATTCGATATAAATTCCTTTAATATCCCAAAATGTACAGCAAACAAAACAATGTAGTTTTAAATCTTTTTTAAAACATAAGTTAAAATGTTCCCTGAGCATGAGCCAGAATACCTAAAGGTACATGCAGTGCCAAGAGGCCTGACTACCATTCGACATTCTGAAATAAATAAAATATGTGCTTGGGTAAATAAACACTGGCTTGCTACCAGAGGCTCAGCATGAAATTTAGTGAATCACAAGGTTTGCTTTTTTAATCCTTGTCACTATTGAAAGAGTCTCACTAATGTGCTACGAGAGATACTACAATAAAAAAAAATCTGTATTTTGGAGTAAATAGCATATATATTACGACGTAATTATAGAACCCTGAACGTGACAATAGCTAAATATAACAAAGATAATCAGATTCAAATAAATACACAAACTCTTTTTTTTTTGTCTGTCTTAGGGCACTAAAAATTATAGTCTTTTAAGAAAGTGGGTGTCTACTTAGATTAAATATGACCCACAGAAGTTTAAGTATCTTTACTAGGCTGCCACTAATTACCATTAATTTCAGTTCAATACGCCTTTTTGTGCAGAGGCAAAATATTCAGATTGAATAGGTGACTTAAGGCTATATGCAGGCTTTCCCAACCATGGCCATTTAGTTCATTTGAAAGATTGCATACAAACGACTTATTATCCCTTTTGTGAAGAGACATATCTTGATTTGTTTTTAAGATTACGGCTAATTATTTTGCACCATTTTGAGGTTGTTACTGGACACGTGTTACAGAAACCCATAGCATTCCCCTTCTTGAGAATGCACAGCCAGATTTAGTTTCCAATTTTTCAGAAACTGAATTATCAGCTCACTCTTTTTCTAACTCTCAGATGGAATAGATTACTGATCAAATTCGTTTGAATGATATGAAAAATCTTTTAGCCATTTCATGAGCTTGAATAATGTTTTTTTGTTTAGATGAATCTAATCTTCATGAATTAATACAACACAACAGATGCATGTGCTGCAGGTACATTTCTAAGAAACAAACTAAAGTTTATAGTTTAAAAAATGTTTACAATTTACTGATAACCTGGACCAGTTAAAATGATTGTCGTTTAATTATATGCATGCTTATTCAACAGCACGCACCCCATTGTGCTTCCCTGCACTTGAGATAATCTGAGCCAGTGTGAGTACTTTGTAATAGCCGTAATTGCCTCTTAATTACTCTGCTTATTATCTGATGAGCTGTCAAGGACTGCTTTTATCTTACACAACTATAATATTTTCAGATCATATCAATGCTACCATGTTTGGTTGTTGTCATAACCTTACACTCATGAAAAATTGGGTTGGTAATGCAATATTTAAGCAACTTCCCTGTGCTGGACATTAAATCAATAGAGATAGGCTAACCTAACATTTGATCAACCGAGCAGCTATTTATAACCTAAGAAGTGAATTAAAGCCAGAATTACCCCAAGGAGAGTAAACATTCCTTTTCATACAAGTTCATAGTGTTTTCATCAGAGGAAAATTGGTTTTCAAACGAATCAGTAGCTAATGATCAGAGTTTGAATAAAATTAGGCATTAAGCCAAATACAACGTTAACAACAACAACAAAAAAAGCTCGGAGGTATTATAAAAAACGCCGGTTTGGGCGGTACGTGTAAAGCATTACAAGTCGATAACTTTGTGATTGTGTTTTGTATTTAATTTTTTGATCAAATTGTATTTAAGATGTGAAGATTTTGGTCGAGATGAACATCCAAATTACTTTTATATTTAATCATTTAGCACGTTTCAATTCATTCAAAAAACCTAATTGCTTTAAAATACCAGACTTTCCTGAAAGTCATGTATATAATTAGCATATTGATTAGCCTATTCAATGAAGATGAAAGATAACATCAGATAAATTGTAAAAAATAATTAGCATTAGGTTACATTACACTACACTCTAAAAAATGCTGGGTTGTTTTAACCCAATTTTGGGTCAAATATGGACAAACCCGAAATGTTGGGTTAAAAATGTAATGTAAAAATTTAACCCAACGGCTGGGTTAGTCCATATTTGACCCAAAGTTGGGTTAAAACAACCCAGCATTTTTTAGAGTGTACCTATTCATGCACAATAGCCTAAACCAGAAAAATATGAGGCGGTTGTTCTTCAGTTCATGCCGTTCAAAAAGTTAATGTGCTTCTTCCTATTTTACACGTTTGCATTTGCTTGAAATCAGGGTTTAATTTCTGTGATAAATTAAGACTCGACACACCGTTGAAGCAAATTAACTTTTTAAACGGCACGGACAGAACAAACAAACAAACAAATACATTTTGTGGTTCGTGGTGCTTGAAAAGGTGTTGCTACATTTCTGATCGGACGAAGTTGAGCATAGCCTACCAATAACTGGAAAACACTAACACCCCACACACACACAAAATATTTATAATGACCAAGCCTGTCTGTGAACAATTCCCGTATTTAACTAACTAAATGATCACCTGAAACATAAATAAAACACCTGGCACGCCTGATTCATGCGTACATGGTTCAAGAACGGGTGTCCACATGATTAATGAATATTGTATACGCGATAGCGACACAAACATGTACAGCAAATGTACAGCAGCGACACCACAGCAAACAGATACGAGGCTAAAAATGATGGCAGAAGGCGGCATACTTTACCTTCCGCGAGAAGGCGCATCGCGTGCACGAACGACGTGTCCAAGCCCTCCTTCTCGGCAATGAGCTCTGGCAGGTACTTGTCTTGATCCATCACTGGATTCCTCTCCTGAACACCGCGAGTGCAGGTGAGACGAGCACAGAGGTGAGTGATGGAATGGGCGTGTGGTGGTTGCGTTTAAATAGACTGCGTAATATCGGGGAGGGATCGTGTGGTTTTCGCGCACAACGTGGAAGATATCAATGCAGTGTACCCATCTCCTCGAGTCTCTCATATAAAACCTCCCACCTCAGACTCCGAATCTGTACTCTCACTCCGCCCATCTACATCTGGATTGGTCATGGCAGAGAGCAAACTGCATGCAAATGTCAGATATTGTGTAGGATTGAATTTGGGGGCATTCTGTAAACTAACCGCTGATCTGTCACCCCTGTCCATGGTTCTGAACACCTAATCTTCTGTGCAAATCTGTATTGTTTTTTGACTCTCCGTCAGTATCCTTTGCATATTTGCTTTGGAAAGACATCAGACAACAAATGTATGTGATTGTGAACAGGTAAATATAATGGCAAAACTTTTTTTATTATTACTATTAATTGGAAATGCAAAATAATAAATATCCATAACATATATAAGTTTTTCATTCCAGACGGCAGAGTTGGAAGGGACATTTGGTAACGGCCATGAATACTGATTAGTGGATTTCCCATTTGCCTCAGTTTGCCAACATGGATTAAGCTGTTGTGACAGACAGTCACAGATAGTGCAAACACTCACAAACACACACACTAACACTTAGACAAGCAGCTAGGCACATGTGAGGGGGAAGGAGAGATTGCCACAGAGGAGAAGGGTAGAGAAGACGCAGAGAGAGAGAGAGAGAGAGAAAGAGAGTAAGAGGGGCACTGAAGGAGGAAGAGGGACAGGACCAGCTTGCCTAATTAATAACTGAATGGATTACAGTGCTGTTGGCAAACATCTGCACCCAAAGTGTCATATTTACTGTCTGCCTGTGAACTGTGAACATAATTACAGAATCCCAGTCCACGGTGCTGAGCGGTTGTGCTACAAATAAAATAAAAATACATTTGGAATAAGTAATCGAAATACTGATTTATCCAAAATAATTCATAATGTAAAATGTGTTTAATTAAAGCGACCTCATGCATATATAAAATATTTTTTTATGCAAAAATAATATAGTGTAATGTGTCACAAAAAAACAAGAAACGCAAGTTTAAAAAAATATGTGGTCACAAAATATATATAAATATATATATTGGGTTCCCATATTTTAGTATCCTCAAGTGACTTCCAATTCATGTATAGCTGACCGATCCATGTTGTATTTTACGATTTAACACTCTGGAGGGAATCAGCTTGGTAATAGGATAATCAAATGGATTTGGGGGGGGTTATATATTGATTCTGATGGTAGTGAATGAGAAGAGATTGAGGAAAAAGAAATTAGGGTTTGTGGAGGATCAACACCTTCCATACATCACTCACCACCACTCAACATAATGAAACGCTTCTGAAGGGCAAAAGCTATCAGTTGCAATTATATACGCTTCTTTTGTCGCATTTCTACAAGATGAAAGAGTTTATTGCTTCATCAAAAGATCGTGATACATCAATAGTCTCTCACTTAGGCTAATTTGTTGATTGTGTGTCCTAACTTTTTCAAAATGAGAGTCTTTATTTTGATATATGTCGTGGAGAACATCAGCAGGATGTCAATTTATGATGATAATGTGGTATTTATTATACAACACACCACACCACTCATTTCCTATCACTTTTATGTTCATACCAGACACTGAGGAAATAAATAAATAAATGCTGATAATATTGAACTTCTGATGCAACTGGTCAAGAAAATGATCTTTCTTTTATTATTGTTAGATTTTTGTTTTATTCTTAGTTTTGTGTGTGAAAAAACAATCTGGAGCTGCAAATTAGCCTTCAGTTAAAAGCCTGTGTGTGGAGCATCGGCTGCTTGAATTTATAGCAATGTTTCTGTATTGTCCCTGTTTAAAAAAACTAATAAATATATAAAATCAAATACAATCAGAGCAACCTCTGTAGGTTCATTTAAGAGTTTGGCATAATTTACTCTTGCATCATGTATTGAACTAATAAGAATGGCTTTCTGCAGCACTCTAGTGGCCAAGAATAACACAACAGGAGATAAAACTGCTTCGAAACTTGTTTGGCTTCAAGACCCAGAATTTACATTGGATGAGCAGTGACTCAACACAGCACCAAATGTTAATCATAAAAAAGTAAAAGTAAAAAATGAAATAAAAACATTTATGCAAATGTATTAAACTTGGCGTAAGCTGAACAGGAATCTGATCATTTCGGTCCTGTTGGCAGACAATAATTTACAGCACAAAACAAACTGGCCACCAGTGCACAATTTGTTGTTTGCAATTTTGTTTTTTGTTCCCTGCCATCACTTTGCCTTGTGTATCATCAACACTAGATGGGACAGTTTTTAATTGGCTGTGATGCAATTAACAAATATTAGCAGTCATAAATAATCTTTTCATAAACAAAATAAAAACATCTGTAATTAAAACTTTAGAGAAAGCCTTTAATATTCAAAATATGACAGTCAACCATCAAATATGTATCCCGTGTTGTTTTTCAAGCAAAAAAAATTTTAACGATCCAGTCATTCATTATGGATTGATGACACATTAAGCACTGAAGGATAATTAGACTTTAAAAATGCAAGGGAAAATTCATGATGAATTGCAAGGCTGTGACAGCACCATGTGTTAGGAATAATCAATCTTTATTATATAGTCAAAATAAGTAGAGCTATGGTACATTGCCTTTACACCTCAGAGCAAGCTCCCCAACAACTAGTAAAAACAATTCACATTCAGTAGTGAGCCGCACTTTCATGAAGCACTTTTGTGCTTCTCAAACACTCGTGAGTGAACGTAACCAGCTAGCAGAGTCTCCGATTGTGGAAATGCAATAGCCCACAGTGTGAATTATTAAGCAGCACTATTGGGAGAGAAATCGGGAGAGGGGAGGAAACGGGGTAATGGGATATTAAGTTTTGCTCAATTTGAGGACTAAGGGTTCACATGACATCTCAGGCCCTTGTGTCACATCAACCTCCTGCTTCATCGCTTGAGATTTATCTATTTATTTATTTTTACAAGCTCTCTGTTTCACACAAAGCAATTCATACTTCGCAGATCCATGGAGAGAGCTATAGAGACAATGCTATAAACAGCATATGCTGGTAAGTGTCTTAGTTTGTAGGACATTCTGTTTGTAGTATAAAACTTTGTTGCCACTGAAATTAATAGAGGTCAGGTGACCTAATCTTAATAGGAGTCAATGAAATCAAACATTCATAAACATTCTAAAATTTACATTTTGCTAAGAAAAGATCTCATGACAATCTAAGACAAAAGACCAATAACTCAAGTTGAATATAAATTATTTGTATAAAATATTTTAACATAATAAAGTTTGTTTATTGTTTATTACCACAATTCCAAATGTTAATGTGCGGCCATATTTACTGTTACAAATCTGCCAACCGTGAGTTTCACGTGAGGACTCGTGTTCAAGTTAGTCATGCAAATTCAACAAAAAAAGATGCTGGGTTTAAACGTGACTTCAGTGTGAGAGTTGCTTCATACATCTCTATGCTATTGTTTCTTTCTTTCTTTAGTCAAGCGGCTGATAAAACTCAAATTAATGCAGGACTGAATGTTAACAACATATTCAAGCACTTTTTTGTCTGTCAATTTTACTAAACTTTGTTTTCCCAGGTCAAAGCCTGCACTATAAAAATGAATATGCTTTATCTAATCAAAAAAAATGTGGCAACAGATTACAAGCAATATTATTAATTAAATGTAACAAATTAGAATTGAGTAATAATTAATCCAATTAATTCCTTAAAAGTTAACCGTTTAAAATGAGTAAAACTTACAACAACCAAAAAAAAACATAAATTTAAGTCGGTATTTGATTTAGGTTTGTTTTAAAATGACGGTTTTCTCCCTCAGTGATTCTGCTTGTTAACATCAGGTGTCTGCAATGTTGGCAATATAAAATAAATAGTTCTTAATTAATCTTTGACGTCTGTCTGTTCGTGAGATATTTTTGTTAATTTTTTTTTTGGTGTATTTTAAATGGTTAACTATTAAGGAATAATTTGCTTAATTATTACTCAATTCTAATTTGTTAAATTTAATTAATAATATTGCTTGTAATCTGTTGCCACAATTCTATTGATTAGATAAAGCATATTCATTTTTACAGTGTGTGGCAGTCAGGGGCCTAAAGGCACTGGTCATGTTGGTTTTTCATTAATTTACAGCACAATGTACGTTAGGCCTAAATCGGGCGGTAGAACACGTGTGAGTGGTGGGCACAGTTGTTCGGTAGAGTTCATTTGAAGATTATGATTCATTAAGTCCAGCATTCAGGCAAAACGTGTTAAGGAAATGTTAGGACAGCGCATACGGGCTTGTGATCGTGAAGGACAGAGCAGATAATGCCTGACACTGCCCCTGGCCACAAGAGTCCACGCAGCCAGCAAGGTTAAAAAGTGAATCTGCAGTATCCTGACAAGCCCAAACCCTCTGTCATCCACAATAATTTCCCTTATAAAGGAAAGTTTAATAAGAGCCTCTGGGCAGCAAAAAAAGTGGATATAAAAGACCTTACATTACTAATTGAAATAGCTTTTTTGACCCACAGGGCATCCTGATATGAGCAGTTATTACAGTTTGCCTATTCTACTGAGGGCGCTCTCCATGATCAATTAAGATGAACTCATTTTATTGCTCCTCAGGCTACTTGTAAACAATGCTGGATGTGTCTCGTCTTTTGAGGACCACTACTGAGAAAAAGAAAAATAGTACCCCAAGAGCTGAAAGTATATAAAACAATTTGTGTTTTCAAAGAGTGCTAATCATCTGTCATGGAAAAAAAGGATATACACTACCATTCAATTATTTGTTGCTGGTGTGATTTTTAAATTGAAGTCTTTTGCAATGTCTTTACTGTCACTCTTGATAAATTGAATCCATCTTGATTGATTTATTTAAAAAATTCAAAATGTAAATTCATTTACAATATAAAAATATTAAAACATAAAAGGACTGATCTAGCTTTGAGTATATTTACAAAATGATATAGAAAAACATTTCCTAATAATGTTAGATGTTATATAATTGAGGCTGTAATAGTTCATACCTTAATAATACCTGTTAAGATGAATGCTAGAATTAATGATAAAAGTGATTATAAAATGTATATGAACTCCATCAGACCCTTCAGCTGAGGCTTCATCATCACACTAGTCATAAGTACAGTTTGTGACATATTGGGTCCTACACATCGAATAATGCCCAGGGAAAATGACGAATGGACTATATTGTAAAATCACAGTGGAATTTACTGCATGAAGAGGTCGAAAAAATGATGAATGGACATCATCAATGCAACGACATTACAAATCACAGCAGCTTTAACCACTGGAGACAAGAAATAGTACAGTCAGACATTTTTCTTATTCACATGTGGGGGGGGGATCTAATACATTTAATTGCCACAAATGCACAACATACAGAATGTTTGTAGATATATATAATATATCCCTCCCTATACATCATAGTGCAAGTCATTGGGAGTGTCTCACATTAGTTTTGCAGTGTGGAAAGAAAATTAGCTTTCTCAGGGACAAACAACAGCTAGTATTTCCCTACTCATTAGTTGCAAACCACATCTAAATAAAGAATCCACAGCTTAAGTGTTTGATCTCCCAGTTGTCTTCTTAAATGCATGAGCAATGCTCAGATCAATATGCAAGGCCCACTAGGAGAAATATGATGCGTTAATTCATCATTAACCCAATGAGATTGGGTTAATACGTGCCCTTTGGCTCTAAAATGCATTTTCTTGAATTTTTTGTCAAGCTCAATCTGAAAGACGTGAATTGCCTGATGATTCACTTCTTGACATGAAAAATAGATCACAATAATCTTTTAGTTTTCCTCATGCCACTGCTTGTAATGAACATATTTGTTCAACTCAGTCACCATTTGTTAATCTTGGAGTCTTGAAGAATATTTCAGTCAGTTAAGAAATGAGTTATGGTGTATATTGTATTTGTTGAGAGATTAAATTATTACATTGAGTTCTATGTAGTAAAATACTAAAAATTCACTCTTTACAATAAAATGACAGGATTGATTAACCTATAGCGTCTAGACATCGGATCAAATCCAAATAATGCTGCAAGGGTAAATCAGGTGATGCGACTCTTAAGGTCTACACATAAGCATATATTTATATGATATAGGAAAGGTTCAGCTACATACAATGAAACATTAATGTACCTAACAGATGAAAACATAATATTTCCTGCTGGACGAGATTTAACAGAAAAGACATCAAATATGAGGGGATAGTTATTTTCCGTTAACACAAACTCTTATCCTTTTATCACTGGATATGTTTAAATGCCTGATCTATGGGTTATTTCATGCCTCCTTACAGTATGTTAACTTTTACTTTCCAAATTTTTAAACGTATGTAGGCCTTCTAGTCTTCACCAATCATGGTGTGTGTGTCCCAAATAGAAACTCATGAATTAACACAGTATTAAATAGATAAATAATTTACACCAGCCCTTTAATGAATGTCTCAAACCAGACTTGGCCTTTGTCCAATATTATATAACACAACATAAAAGACAAGCAGATAACGTTAAATCTGCTTGTTCGTCCTAATACAAAAGACTTGCAGCCAAGAAGAACCAAACAGTGAGTATACATTTAATTTGAATGTTTATATGTTCATAGTCAGTAAAAAGAAAGAAAAAACATTTGACAGCACCGCACAATTAATTCAGATTAGCCAATAGCCTATTTGAAAGGAAACTGTCCAGAACCGGTTGTTACATAACGAGTCAGCGGTAGCCTGCATTTCTTTCGTTTTAAAGACAACGACTGTTGAACTTTGAAGTATCGTAAATACGTTTTTTTTTTCTAGTGTGCTTGGTCTAGTTGAAAGTGCTATTTGACTGATTATTTGCAGTCAAATGAATTGAATGCATATTTTGTTTGAGTAAAAGCTTTTATAAAAATACAGTATACAAAGCTATAAGCCTATTTTTCCTGCTCTACCAAAGGAAAACACAGTGTAACCTAAAATAAAATGTTGAGAAAAAAAATGTGGGGAAAAAAGAGACAATTTTAATTATTTTAAACACTTTGCCTTGCATGAAAGTGCACAGGTGCAGTTTAGACTGTTTCCACATGGCTGTAGGCTACAGTCTTACCGGTTACGCCAGTTGAGGACCCGCATCCCATGTGACACTCAGACACTGGTGGAAAACTAAACATGTCTTGATTAAAGCATCTTCATAGCAGGGCTCTTCACACAGAACGTGTTTTCCATTCCACTCTGATAGCCTACTTATCGATTTTTTTTTCTGTTAACCGCTAGAGTTTAACTTTTGCGCAGGAGTCGACGCAGTGTTCTACAAATAAGTTCAACTAAACGCGCCCGACCTTGCATTTTTTCCGTGTTGCACTGCCAGCTAGCGTCTTGCGTTTTTGCTTTAAAAGTTTTTGCTTTCTGACTCTGAGCGAATATAAGGTAAGAAGCGGATTTTTGTGCCGTGTTTTTAAAATGTATCATGAGTTCTGAGCATTCTCAAATAACTGTCCTCATTCATTTGCAGTCCATTTTTGTTATTGACATTTATACATCACATGAAAGCTGAATAAGCTTTCCATTGATGTAGGCTCTGGTATGTTTGTTAGAATAGGACAATTTTTGGCTGAGATACAACTATTTGAAATCGGGAATCTGAGGGTGCAAAAAATATAAAAATATTGATAACATCACCTTTGGTTTCCATTTCTGTTGGCGATTGTGCTGCATCCCCTTAAATAAAATTGATATATTTAAGGTAGGAAATGTACTAAATATCTTAATGGATCGTGATCTTTACTTATTCTAATGATTTTTGGCATAAACAAATCGATAATTTTGACCCCTACAGTGCACGTACGTCACCCGACATGGCTTAGAGTGCCGAAGTAATGACGTCACTTTGTAGGACAACCCGGAAGCTAGCGGCGCATGGGTTCAGTAGCACCTCAATGCAGAACATGAGATCCACGGGGAGGAGTCGGATCACGATCCAAGGGGTGGAGATGGGTAAGATTAGGGTTGGGTTTAGGGATTAGGGGTGGGTTTAGGGATCAGGGGGCGGAGTTGGTTAGGTTTAGGTGTATGTAAGGTGGGAGGAGTTGGATCTGGATCCAAAGCAATGGATTTTCCCCATAGACTTTTGGAAAATCGCAAAAAATAAGATCTGTGTTTAACAAAGGGTTGTTGTGACCCTTACACGTTTTGTCTAGCAAGATAATCTTTACAAGTTAATCCAAAATTTATACATTTTGAAGCCTATATAAAGATTTTAAAAAACACAATCAGACACAATAAAGTTTTAAAAAAAACCACAAGCAGGTTATAACTGTGTGTTCTATGTCATAGATCAAAACGTGAAAATATTTAGAGGCTCTGTTCACCAGAGACCTTATTTCAGGCGATTTAGCAAAAACCCATTCAAAAATCCCATAGGCTTTAGAGCGAGGGAACTGTAATGCTAAAATGCTAACTCACTTCCGCGTTTTGGCCTACAGAGTGATGTTGTAACTTCGGCACTCTATACTTTACCGCAATATCAAGCCCCGCCCGAAGCACCCCCTGATAAAACATGCTAACTTATGTGCTTACCTTTATGTTTCCTTATTCCGCGACGGCCTTTTGCTTCAGGCGAACTGAAAGAACTGCAGTTTTCCCTTCCAATTTGGCCTTAAATCATAGACTGTAAAAAGCCTTAAACACTGTGTTTGTGGTAATGTTAATCCAGTTTGAAATGTTGACTAGAAACACGGCCTTCACGACAAGCTGACTACAACTCGCTGGATAGCCTACTTCACTGGAAACCCGTTTACTTTATGAATTCTTACAACCAGGAACAATACAAATCGACTCATTTATGACTAAAGTTTGCTAAAAGGCATTTCCTACTAAAGTTTCTTCTTCTTCTTCTTCTTATAATGGCTTTTTATGGCGGTTGGCAAACCAAGTTTCGGTGCATTACCGCCACCAACTGGACTGGAGTGTGAAGCACTGATAAGCGTGTGGAATTTAACTTTTTTTTCAACTCAATTAACTCAAATTCTCCAGTCTATTCCTATTGCATTTACAAATTTTATAATAGCACTAAATATTTTATCTTGATCTTTATGTACTTTCAAAATGCTTTCCTTATTAAAATATTCAACACCCAATTTCCTTACTTCCTTCATAAATTCTAACCTTTCCTTTACATATTTTTCACATTTTATTAAAACAAGTTCAATTGTTTCAGCCTGATCACAATAATTACATTTACCTATTCAAGTTTGGTGGACTGCTAAAGTTAAATATATAGCAGACAGGTGGGAGGGGCTTTGGGCGGCAACATTCCCAGTGCATTATGAGTGTTGAAGTTTTCAACAACTAACTGTTATTAGTCTTTTTATTATAGGCCTAATTAAAGGGTTATTCATATATCTAATAGTAATATTGTCTCTTCACATTCAGTTATTAATTACGCACTAAATTTGCTGACCAGAGCTAGTTGTGAATTTGTGCTATTAATAAAAAAACAATATAAGAATTAATGTTTTCTTCCACATTCCTCAATTAAGTCTATGGGAGTGTTGTAACAGCTTTAACAGTGGCATTTTGGCAAAGACCCTGGTACATTTTTGTAGTGGTGTTCATTTTAGTCATGGCATAGTTTTGGTTAGTAGAACATAATGAAAGTTGTTTCAGGTAAACCAACCAGAATTGCTCCTTTCATCTCACAGAGTCCTCCCTTTAATAGAGCTTGAGTAAACATGACAGGAGCCTGAGAACCTGGTTCCTGTAAATAACCCCAGACACCCTTCTCATGGAGATGAGCTGTGAAAGTTGCATTTACCCTCCGTCAGTGTTCATCTGAATAAATTACACAGCTCAGTAAAGTTCAAGGGCAATATATTAAACTGTTAGTACTCTCAGTACTATCCTCTCTCCTGACACCACACATGTTTGTTTCCTTTGGGCTAGAGGAAGACCCCAGATTGTGATGAAGACTGTGATTGTGGTACATGGTGGTGCGTGGGCCATCCCAGATGAGTTAGCCGAAGCATCAATGGCTGGAGTCAAGAATGCTGTGCGGGCAGGGGATACTGTTCTGAAGAATGGGGGAAGTGCACTTGATGCTGTAGAAAAAGCTGTGAGGTCTTTGGAAGATGACCCAGTGTTTGATGCAGGTACACATATACAGTACACACACTGCCCGGCCCAAAAAAAAAAAACTGTTTTGATTTAAAGTCTATGACTGGATCATTATGGCAGTGCTTATTATGTTTCTAGAATGTTACATATGTGGCAACAGTCCTTCTGACCCTAACGGATGAAGTGCGTAGCTTTTCATTTCTTAAACAACCACGTAGGAAGACACATCATGACCACATTCCAGGATGACAATATGAAGATTCATCAGGCTCAAATTGTGAAAGAATGGTTGGAAGAGAGCATGAAGAATATCTTTCACACATGAATTGGCACCTCTGGGTCCAGACCTTAAAGGATTAGTTTGGTATTTTACACTTGATCAGTGTCACATGATCCTTAAAAAATCATGCTGATTTGGTTATATTATGTGTGTGGGATAAGTAAGAATTATAAAAAGATATTAAAAATAAATAGATAAGAAATTAATACTTTTATCGAGCAAGGATGCATTAAATTGATCAAAAGTAGATGATTTTAGAATGATTTCTTAAGGACCATCCATGTGAGCCTGAAGACTGAGGAATGATGCTGCAATTACATTCAGCTTTGATAAGACAGAAGTAAATTACAGATAGGACAATGTAAAATGTGTATTTGTAATCAAATAAATGCAGTATTTATGAACATAAGAGACTTCTTTCAAAAACATTATTCCAAACTTTTGACTGGTAGTGTTTTTTTTTTAATTATTTTTTTACCTTGACTGACTTTTTCTATTCAAGACTTCAAGCAGAGGAAGTCGAGATTCAGTAGTTCGTGAGAGACTTCATCTAGACTCTGAATGGGACAGTATTTCAGCACATACCCTTGACACTTTGCTAATGATCATCTCGAGAGTAAGGTGAGAGGTTCTCCAATAATTATCAGATTACAAAGAGGAAAGCGGGGTAAAACAAGACACTTCATTAACACACCCGGCCTGTCGGTGCCAATCTCATTTGTGATGGCTAACTGTCACCATGAGTGAAATGGCTAATCCTCTTCATATCAGAGCTGCACATTCAGCGGCTCATCAGGATCATTTTATACACTGGGGTAGCCAGAGGCACAGTCTGATCAATAGATGACTAATGCAATCCTGTTTAGAGAACTGAGAGCTAGACTTAAGAGTGGATAACAGTCTTGATCCAATCTTGCCCTTGGAGGGCCACTGTCCTGCTGAGTTCAGCTCCAACCCAAATAAAACACACATAAAATGGGTAATCAAGCTCTTCCTGGGCATATTAGAAACTTCTAGGAAGTTGTGTTGAGGCTGGAGCTAAACTTTCCAAACTTTTGGGAGGACAGGACAGTGGGGAAAAAAACATTCACAAAGTCAAAAGTTTTTTTTTTTGTTTTTTTTATAAAGATCATACTTAATATTTTCTTTAGACAAATATCCATTTTTTAGACCAAAAATGTTATTTAATGTAGGTCAATGTAATATTTTTCTTGGCTTAAAAAAAAAAAATTCACCATAAACAAATGCTAAATCAACTTAAAAAGAACATATCATTAAAATCTGACTTTTTTTGTGTGTAAATGCTATAATTGGGATACCCTGTGCATCTACCAATCCATAAAATGGGAAAAGTGACAACCCACTGAACCCAATGACTTTCTCTATGTCAAAAAATAAGCCGATCAGATTTCGCACCCCTTCTGACATATCTATCCATCCATCCATCCATCCATCCATCCATCCATCCATCCATCCATCCATCCATCCATCCATCCATCCATCTATCTATCTATCTATCTATCTATCTATCTATCTATCTATCTATCTATTTCTTTCCTTCTATCTTTATGGGAAATGTGGTCTTTATAAAGGGACTGTAAAATGTTTCATGTGCAGGTCATGGTGCAGTGCTGAATGTTGATGGAGAGGTGGAGCTGGACAGTATCATCATGGATGGGGAAACACTTGCCGCTGGAGCTGTGTCCTGTGTTAGAAACATTGCTAATCCTGTTAGTCTTGCTCGTGCTGTGATGGAAAAGGTATGTTTTCTTCTCAAAATGCTTCGCTTCACAATTTGTCATCAACTATTAAATCTCAAATTCAAATATCACTTCATTTGAGTATAGTGTTCTCTCTGGTGAATATCTCTCATCCAACCCATTTAATTCAAGACGGGTTTCATATACAAAAGTGAAAATTTACTGATGTGTTATGTACACTAAAAAAAGTAGGGGATGTGATACAAAAACTGAATTTCACACACAATTTACAGATGTTCAATACTTAAATGGCACTGCAAAACATAAATTCAAATTCAACAACCATTTCTCAATCATAAAGATTTGTTTCATTTCATTTTTTTCCGTCATAAAGACTCGTCAAAATCACTAATCTTCCGGTGTAAGAGAATATCATATAGTTGCTATAAAACATGTCCGATATATATAATTGGTATTCAACATTATTAAGATTTAGGGAATGATCTGAGAGCTAGTTCTTAATGCCTGCCCTTATCAAGGTCTATATGTGGATCATTTTGAAGATTATTGTAAAACCCAGAATAGGGCAATTTGAATTGGACCCAATTTTTTTATATTCTTGTAAAAGGATTTAAATGACCCCCAAAAAATTAGCCATTGTGTTGACTTCACAGGTGAAATTATATGACACCGTAAATTCAGGATTTTCCAATGACTGCAGAGCTTTAATTTGTCATTTCATCAGCAGCCTTGTAATGACAGGCTCAAAGGGAAATGCATGCTAGCTGATTTTCAGATTGATTTCAATCAGTGCTCTTTGTAATGACATAGTAGTCTTATACAATGATTTATCTAAAAGACAAAAGCCTAGCCAGTAAGGTAGGTTTATTTTTAAAAATGAACATAGGCATAAACCTTAAAATCTAAGCTATAATAAACATATCCTATATTAAACATTAAATAACTATTATTGCCCAAATAAGGTATAGGTTATTGAACATTAACCTACTATACATGGGACACGTTATCACATTGAAATCGACATCCAATAATCCATTCAATTTTCTAATCGACAAAATCAGGTCCTGCATATTTTCTTGTTTTGAGTAGCTGTTTTACATATATCGACGATCGCAACTTCCACCCAATGCTGAATTTAGTCCTGAACACATCAATAGGCATACTTTACCAGCCAAAAGTCAACTACAACCTTAATACAGATATGAGCAAGATACCTTTTTGACTATGTTTTAAGGTCAAAACAGAGCAAGGCGAGAATTTGTGTTTATAAAACGTAAAACTTTATTTTTTAAATGACCGATCGTTTCGCTAGATAAGACCCTTATTCATCGTCTGGTAGCGTTTTGAAGCTGCACTGAAACGGTCATTTGGACCTTAAAACTGTTGTCATGGATTAAAGTCCATTATATGGAGAAAAATCCTGTAATGTTTTCATCAAAAACCTTAATTTCTTTTCGACTTGAAGAAAGAAAGACATGGGCATATTGCTACACCGCTCTAAAGTAATTTTAAAGTGATTGCAGTACCAGTTTTGGCCACAATATTACATATGGCTCCTTTAAAGGAACACACCGACTTTTTGGGACTTTAGCTTATTCACCAAATCCCCCAGAATTAGTTCATACATACTCTTCTCTTCTCTGTACATGCCGTAACTCTGTCTGATGCTCCCACCGCTAGCTTAGCTTAGCACAAATACTGGAGGTAAACAGCTCCATCTACGTAGCTTACTGCTCCCAATAAGTGACAAAATAACGGCAACATGAGAAATGAGAAGGTTATGTGTGGACTTATCTTACTCTGGGAGATACGGCGGGCGAATAAGCTAAAGTCACAAAAGGTCAGCATGTTCCTTTAAACAGGCCTTTAGACACCTCGACTGGATCATGCAAAAGATTATTACTTGCACCATCAAGTTGAGCAAAAGCTGCAATAAAACTCGCTGTGAACATGCAAAATGTTTAACAGAAATCCCCCCCCCCCAAAAGGCCTCTGATTGGTTTAACAATAACAACAATTACAAAAAAATATTTATTTAACTTAGAGAATGAGGCTGTCACTGAGATCGGTCTAATATGGGTCAGTTATTTTAGAGATATCAATATACCATACCATTACATAAAGAAATCTCTTACAGCACATTTAACTAACAGCATCAGATTTAAATAATGATCCACACAAAGAAAGAAATATTAATAAACACATAGCTTATTATGTCCCTTTCACACTGTTCACCTTGCAAGGCGTTGGACATGGAGGAAACGAAACCCAAAGAGAATACATGATAATCGATTAGCTGCAGCACCTGTCTTGACTGCCCCAAAAGACCTTGGCCTTACAGATTGGCAGATCTCTTTAATAGCCAGTATTAAAAATTCATCAGGTCTTGATCAATGCTGCGATCAAGCTTCACTGACCTCATGCTCTTGCTTTGTAATCTAAAATGCACTGTATTTGACAAAGAAAAATGACATTAATAACGTGTTAATATTTAAAAGTTTCCTAAGTCAGAGTTATGGTTTAATCCATAGCGATGTTGTTCAGAAAGTTACACAGAGAAATAAAATTGTATTAGAGACAGCAGGGTATTGTCTCAATATATTATAGCAGTTCCTCATGGAGATGTGCACAGTAAATATGGAAATAATGCAAAAGTGTACAGGTTGTAGTGTAGTTGTAAGCATATCACCATATTTATCATTTTTTGACACCCAAGGAAATCAGAATACAACTAAAAGACTAGAACCGATTTAGTTAGCACAACCATGTCAAAACATGTCACACAATCTCAAACAAGGGTAAATTCAATTTGTATCAGGTGCATTAAGGCACTGCTGGACACTTGCTATAAAGATGTTTTGTAGGTCAACCCTAAGGGTAATTTGCCTTGGGTTTCTGAATGGATTTTTATACTCAATTATGCCTTCTAAACATCATTTTTATGAGTAAATTAAGGTGCGTAGTACCATTATATGATGACATGAAAGTTACATTATATGACAATGTTTCTTCTTATGACGAGAAGCCCTGTTCTACAACATAAGTCAAACCTCAAACATGAATTTTTTATGGCGAACCCATTTATTGAAAAAGCTAGTATGTAAGCTGCTTTCTAAGTCATGACTTATTGAATACTCAAGCCTCTATTCCAGTGGTTCTCAACTCTGTCCCCCGAGGTCCACTTTCCTGCAGAGTTTATCTCTAACCCTAATCAAACACACATGAACAAGCTAATCAACGTCTTCAGGACAGGTAGATGAGTTCAGTCAAGGTTTGATCTAAACTCTGCAGGAAAGTGTATTTCAAGAACCCCTGCTCTACTCTGTTTCAACCGAGAATAATAACCCATTAACTGTTTATGAGCAGAAGCTTTTAAAACTCGTGGCTTCCCTGACACCAAGATTTAAACTATTCATAAAAAAATTCATCATTGCCTGTCCAGCTGAGATTTAAGTAAGGAGATAAAGGTTAGGATCATGAATCTTCAGTAATACAGAACACTGTGAGTGCATATTAGCACCAATTGTTGTATGCTTTTGGGATCTGATGCAGCGTTTGGACTTGGAAATGGTGACATGTGATGTAAAGTAAACGTTTAGACTACTAATTATCTTTTTGAAACCATTTTTTGCTCTTTTTATTCAGACAGATCATGTCATGTTGACAGACAGAGGCGCGAGCATGTTTGCAGAGCGCATTGGGACTCCAGTAGCTCATGATTTGGTGACTCAGCCAGAACGTAAAGAGTGGGAACACAGCAAAAGCTATCAAGCCGGAGTCAAAACGCTCTTCAACACACATTGGTGGGTAATTTCATGTTTCTTGCCAAATTGAGTCGCTTAATGCGCCAAAATGGTTTTAATTTCCTGATTTCATGACATACTTTATTTCATAGATTTTGATGACCATATAGTTACAGAGAGGTCACATTAGTACAATTTCAGTGAGATTGCACAGGCAATTAATAGTCTGTTTTCCATGGATGAATGAAGCACTGCTCACACAGCAGTCACTCTAAAAAACACAGCTTTCAGTTGGTAACAATAGATAACATTTAAACCTATAACATTTTTACCTCGCAATTTTGACCCCCCCCCCCCCCCCCCCCTATTTTGAAACTGCTTCTCAAACAAGAAAACAAGTAGCTTGGGACTTGATTTTGTCTAACAGGAGTTGATCGTTGAGTGACAGGTTGTCCCGCCCTCGTGCCAGTAAACACATCATCACAGAAGAAATGAGGATGTTGTTGCAGGAAGGAGGGGAAGTTATTAGGATTACAAGGGCATATGAATTAAAAAAAAATAATGATGTGCATGGATAGACGATGTATAATAAATCCAGCAATATTCCATGAAAAAAAATTAAGAATAGTAGATTTTGATTTCATGGTAATTTTGAATGATGATTCACGAGTTTGCCTGTCCATCCAGTCTTAATAGTTAATTGTAAACGAACTTGACTTGGTGTCCAATTTACCTAATTTTGTGACCATTTTGCATGAATATATTGTGGAATGTATACTGTGATAAATCATTATCTACCCTCTTTATTCTTTTACCTTAGTATACTGATTCTAACGATGTCTTCATATATAACGTTCTTAATCGTTTAGTTTTAAAGGGACAGTGATTGTCCTTGGCATTGAGGCCATGAGTTGATAATGGCAGCATATTCTCATGCTGGCCTGCACAGAGCTCGGGTCATTCGCTGAGACCTTCTGGCAGTGCAGATAGAGCTGTGTGGGCTCCAGCAAAGCAGCCTTACCTGCCACCTCCACTTCCCCAGGCTGAGTGCTGAGTAGTAGTGGAGTCAGGGCCATGGCGGGGTGTAACCTCAGCCCCCGAGGGAGTCTGTAAAAATAGTGCTGTGGAGGTGCTAAGTGACAGTTGGCTGAGCTACTGCCTTTCATCCCACCCCGCTGTGGCTTCATTATTGATAGCCTCCCTCTGCTCGCCCTGTACCACCATCATCACTGGGCTTTTTAACACACAGGCCCTAGAATTCAATTACCCCATGGCCAAACCACCCTCTACCTTTATTTAGTTTTACTACTGCCCTGCTGGTTTGACCAGGCTTTTATAAAACCACAGATGTGTCAGTACTTCCTATTCACGCTATGGTGATCACATGGTGGTTAAAAATGTAAAAAAAGGTGCAAATTTCTACACTTAAAGGGATAGTTCACTTTGAAATTAATTTTTGATATGTTTTAGCTTACCTCAAGGGCATCCAAGATGTAGGTGTCTTTGTTTCCATTATATTTTAAATTTGGATATCTTTAGGTCAAACCGTTCTTGTCTGTCAGACATATAATGGAGGTATATGGGGTCCACCTCAAAGAGCATGCACAGAAAAGTCCAAATTAAACATGATTTAATGACTCGTAAATGTAAGTACACATTGATGGCCTAAGACACGAAACGAGCGGTTTGTGTGAGAAAACGAACAGCATTTATATCGTTTTTACCTCTTGTAACCACAGCCATGTCCAAGTGATCTGAAGTCACGGGCGCTCCGATCTCTTGTGCGGTTGATATATCGAAATCGTCTTCCATTGCGATTTCCTGTATATCTAAATATGATTAGATCTTCACAGTGAAGGGTAACACTTCTGAAATCTCTGTGTAAACATTGAGTGACGTACACATGCGAGAGATCACTTCCAGGACTTTCCGACGCTTGCTCAGACCGAAGCGCCCTCAGAGTACTTGGAAGTGACTGTGATTACAATAGGTAAAAACGATAAAAATACTGTTCGTTTTCTCACACAAACCGCTCATTTCGTGTCTTAGGCCATCAATGTGTCCTTACATTTACGAGTCATTAAATCATGTTTAATTTGGACTTTTCTGTGCATGCTCTTTGAGGTGAACCCCATATACCTCCATTATATGACTGACAGACAAGAATGGTTTGACCTAAAAATATCAAAATTGAAAATACAATGGAAACAAAGACACCTACATCATGGATGCCCTTGAGGTAAGCTAAAACATCCCTTTGACTTCAGGAAGATGGAACTGGAAGTGCTAAAATGCTAAATCTGATATCTCTGAATATTAACATGGGATAGATAGAATTTTAATATTCAAAAACTGCCAAATCAATTCAATCTACAAATGTATTCTGTCATTTAGTGTTACTGATTAGTATGTAGAAAATACATCTGCAACAAAAAGTTGAGACAACCACTTGTTCTTCATAATGAGAACTCTGGTGGAACTTTTGTTCCAATATCTGCACACTTCATTAGGCTGTTTATGGATGTGTGAAGATTTACTGCCAAACTCTGTGATAACTTGGAAGTGTGAAATACAGTCCACCGTCAAGCTGCTTTTAAAAGACATTTTCACCTGAACCGATGAGCAAGATCCAGCCATCGCCGGTGATTTAAAAGAGCAATCAAGCGCCTGCCAAAAATGATTGATGCCTCGAATCTGGAGCCTGACAAGTGATTCTTCGCCATCTGCTTCAGACAAATATTCTCCAAGAGCACCATGTTTGCTCTCCCATTTCTGGGGAGAACGACATGGAGGCAGTTTTCTTTCATTTCACCTTGAAGCATTGTGACTTCAAACTCATAGAACACGCTTGTTTTCCACAGCCCTGCTGCCTTAATCAGAGTTTCATGGGATATAAAGCCTGTGAAATACAAGGGCCTCTGTTCATCCCACTTTCTGCATGCTCTCTATTCTATTTCTTTTAAAGTGATGTGCACATCATACGAATTTATTTTTGTTGTTTTTTTGAAAAAGAAGAACGCATACTTTCTCGTGCGTCTACAGAAATATAACGACTGATATAACACTTTCCCTGCAATCTCTCTGAGTGTACTTTGCTAGACTAGCGGCTGTGATTCAGAGTGGCGAAGGGCACTTATTGTCACTCTCTTCCTTTGTTGACAGGCAGATGATGATGAGTCATTTTCAGGTGTGCTGGCACTCTTAAAAGCATGTGAGAGATTGTCATTAGCACGCTCCCTTTCAGACATCTCTCACATCACCAGAACAGAACTACATGCATTTTTTTCCCACGACTGAAGTTCACATAGGAAACAATAGTAATTGCACAGAGGCTAAATTTAAAAGGGAATGTAGCATATTAAGTTGAATTCTGGGACAAAAGTCTTTCTGATGAAGAGGATCTAGAGGCACATTTCGAGTATGATGAATAATAATGCTCTCTCTTCAAAGCACCTTTTGAAAATACCATATCTGAAACCATCAAATTAAAGATCTGAGAAAAGAAAATCTCAGAGCTAATCTTTATTATTTACCTTTTTTTTAATAATTGTAGGGGCCATGATACTGTTGGAGCGGTGGCTCTGGATTCTTTCGGTAATGTGGCGTGCGCTACATCCACTGGAGGAATCAGAAACAAAATGGTGGGAAGAGTTGGAGATTCTCCTATTATAGGTGAGTCCGATCAGAGATGGAGGACAGAGATAATCTCAGTGTCACACCAACATTCATTTTGAAGCAGTGTCTCGATTGAATGAGCCGATTCGGTTTGAAAGTGTCAGCTCTGATCAATACTCAATTGTCAGAGTGGGTAACACACATTAACGTCCGACTCTCTCTCTCTGCTGCTGTCTTTTCCTGTGTGATAAGGATCTGGTGGATATGCAGACAATAGAAGTGGCGCGGTCTCCTGCACTGGTCATGGAGAGTCTATTCTCAAAGTCACCTTAGCCAGATTAATCCTCTTTCATATGGAGCAAGGTATGAGACTTTTACACTATAATCCTGGTGAGTGTGTGAGTGTGCATGCGTGCTCGTTTACTTACAAGGGCTACAAAAGTGTACATATTTGCTTAATTAAATTTGTGCCTAATCCATTTTGCAAAAGAGAAAATTCAATATGCACTACCTTTCAGAAGCTTGAGGTCAGTGTGATTTAAAAAAAAAATAGAACTTTTATTCAGTAAGGATAAATTACAAGAAGGATATGTATAATTATACAAAAAAATAATAATTTCCAACCAAAGAATCCTGAAAATCCTTTTTTTGAGCACTTAATCAGCGTTAGGATTATTTTTCAAGGATCATGTGACACTGAAGACTGGAGTAATGATGCTGAAAATTTAGCTTTGCCATCATAGGAATAAATGACATTTGTAGACAACATTTATTTGAAATTGTAATATTACTGTTTTTATTGTATTTTTGGTCAACTAAAGGAAGTCTTCTGTGCATATGAGACTTCTTTCAAAAAAATGAAACAAATCTTACAGACCTCAAACATAAAAAATCATTATACAACGATGGCAAAATAAGTTGAATTAATTGAATATGAATTTGAATGAAAAATCTTTTACCCCAGCTACATGTCATTTCCCTTTTCTTTTTTTTTCCTATAATGCAATTTGTTCATATTGTTTAGTCTTGCAAGGTCTCGATCATCTCTACTCCTTTACCCTCACCCACATGTTGCTATTATTATCAGATTTTTGTATAACCAAGCAGAATGAATGTCCAAACACACAAAAACTAGATACTGCTGTTGCCAGTCATTTTAATTGGTGTGTATGTGTGTCTGAGAGAGAGAGAGAGAGAGAGAGAGAGAGAGAGAGAGACAGGAAGGATTGGATGCGCTGCCACAGTAAGCAGATGCTAATGAGGTGTGTGTTTGTCTGTGGAAAAAGTGTGAAGGGTCAGCAGACTATCGTTCGCTTCGGCATTCTGTGGTAATGATACTGCAAGTACAGCCACTCTATTTATTATATTCATTATTTTATCAATTATTAGGGTCTTGACTTGTTGCCCAACATTTCTGCAACATTTGAAGAACAAAGAGTGAGGTGAATGAAATATAGAACTAAAAATAGTTTCACTGTAGCTAACAGTTATTTCTAGTCCATATATAGAAAAAGTAATGTGCTAAATAATAATGCTAGTAAAAATGATATAATATGTTAATACTGTCGCAGGGTTGTTGTAGTCTTGTTGCTAGAGTGATGTTTTCTACTGTATGTTAGTTTTTTTTACCGCATAGTTGCAACACTAAGACTGATGGAATGAGCAAACCATGAGAGAAACATATATTTTTCACTGTGTGACCTGGCCAGGGTCACCAAGGACACATACACTGTGGGTGCAGTGTTTCATTAACGGCACACAGTGATCAAATGCTCTTGATTTAGTTTTGTTCCTGTTCTGCTGGAAAATACCAGGAAAATTATTAAAATTATTATTTTTTATTTCTGTAAAAAAAATTATAGTTGGTTTGTTGTCATTGTTGTCTTAAAATTTAGATAAAACTTCCAATGGAGATTGGTTTAATAAACAGAAACTGAAATTTTATGATATCTGAACCACATTTAATTATCTAAGTTGATTTGACAAAAGAAAAAAGTTGTGATAAATCATGAAAATATTTTTTTACAGTGATGGCAAAGCTGAATTTCCAGCAGCCATTACTCAAAAACCATTCTAATATGCTGATTTGATGCTCAGAAACATTTATTTGTATTATCAATATTGAAAAATAGTGCTCAATATTTTTGTGGAAATCACAATATATTAATTATTTTAGGATTCTTTGATGAATTTAGAAAGTTCAAATGAAAAGCATCTATTTGAAATATATATATATATATTTAATCACGTGAAAGTCCATCTTTTTTTTTTTTTTTTTTTTTTAGCAATTTAATGCGTTTATGCTGAAAACAGGTATTGATCCTTTTTTCCCAAAACATATTTGATTTACCCCAAACTTTAGAACGGTAGTGTAAGTGTCAGAGAATATAGTCAAACATTACAGGGATGGAACTTGAAAAATAATACATTGTGTTTATGATAATAGCAGGTGTTAGATTAATAGATGTTCACAGACTTGGGTAACCTTGAAGATTGTACAGTTCATCCTATTAATGCAATTCACATTGTATGACATTGACAAAATAAGGTTCTGATGAAGTACAGTGAAAATAACTGTTCAGCTGATACCAGCTAGATAAACCTTACTTTTATGGAAGAAATGTAATATGTTCTAATCTATAAAGTATGTTTGGCATGGACTGTGTTAGCATTAGCAAACAGTACTGAGAATGCTTTGATAATGATTAATACTGAAATGAAACAAATCAGAGATTTTGTATTAGAATAGAATAGATTACTGTTAGAGAAGTTAACTGCTGAGAAAGGAGTGTGTAAAACGTTGGGATATATCATGTTGTTTTTACATTCCAGACTATAGTGACAACATAACCAATATTATTGAGAACTTGATAATAACTGTGATAACTAATTGGTTTGAATGGTTCACCAACCACTGGGGAGGGTGGGAATATTGGATATGACATACGGTGCTGATAGAGATAGGAGGTTTGGTGTTGATGTCCCTTCCATGTGTAATACAATGTTTTTCCAGCTTTAGTGGAGATAATTGTGAAAAACAATCTCATAGTAAATGGTTCAAATGTCTAATTATGAAGATCAATTTAATGATGTATGTCCAAAACCAATGCAATTTGATGATAACAAAACCAGCGGGAGTTACAGTGAAATGTATTAATTGAGTTAAGATGTGTTTTTTTAATCTGAACATCTATTCTATTTTCTTGTTTATACTGAGGGTCTGATTTTTTGTCAGATATGGTTTATTCATTTAGTCCGGCTTCAGATAAAAATCTTTACTTGCTTGCTAAATACTTAAAGGACTATCCCCATAAGAAAAAACAGCCTAAGCTTTCTTCTTTTAAAATCTTAAAGAGAGTGATCATTAATATGAAAATCAGAGATCAAGAGTATAAATGATATGTTTTAGCTTACCTCAAGGGCATCCAAGATGTAGGTGTCTTTGTTTCCACAGTATTTTCAATTTTGATATTTTTAGGTCAAACCGTTCTTGTCTGTCAGTCATATAATGGAGGTATATGGGGTCCACCTCAAAGAGCATGCACAGAGAAGTCCAAATTAAACATGATTTAATGACTCGTAAATGTAAGTACACATTGATGGCCTAAGACACGAAACGATCGGTTTGTGTGAGATCTCACGTACGAGAGATCACTTCCGGGACTTTCCGACGCTTGCGCAGACAGAAGCACCCCCGCCCTCAGAGTACTTGGACGTGGCTGTGATTACAAGAGCGATACAAATACTGTTCGTTTTCTCACACAAACCGCTCGTTTCGTGTCTTAGGCCATCAATGTGTACTTACATTTAAGAGTCATTAAATCATGTTTAATCTGGACTTCTCTGTGCATGCTCTTTGAGGTGGTGACCATAGACCTGCATTATATGACTGACAGACAAGAACGGTTTGACCTAAAAATATCAAAATTGAAAATACTGTGGAAACAAAGACACCTACATCTTGGATGCCCTTGAGGTAAGCTAAAACATATCAAAAATTAATTTCAAAGTGAACTCTCCCTTTAAATTTGCTGTATTATTATTTTAGTTATCGATGAACGGTACAAATAGGGGAATTGTGGAAGAAATGTAATATGTTCTATATGTTTGCATTTTCTTATATTCATGGAATCTCAGAAACATGACGGTAATTAGATTAAGGTAATGAAAAGAACCCTTATGAATGTAGGTATGACCTTTGTATACGTGGCTGGACAATAAGAAATGTGTGACTAATGTACGACCGAGACAGAGGGCCTCCTCTCGTGGGTAGCATAAACAAGTCTAACAATGTGTTAGTTATGGCTGAGACATGTTCATTTAGCCTAGAGAAATAACCTTGGGGGAGTCAGGACTATAAAGAAGGAAGGATGCCGTCCTCGGCTGCTGGCATTTTCTAGCAAGAAAATAAACCTCATCAAAGACAACTGGAAATGTTTGTCTCTGGTTCAGTGATATAGAATTTTGTTTTCCACTACACTTTGCTGACTCTGCCTCATACTTGAGTGTTGTGTTGTGTGATGCAGGGAAATCCTCCACGGCGGCCGCCACCGCCTCACTCCAGTACATGTGTGAGAGAGTGAAGGGATGTGGAGGTGCCATTGTTCTGTCCTCTACCGGGGACTGGGCCACCAGCTTCACCACACCACGCATGGCTTGGGCCACCATTAAAGAGGACGTCCTGCACTATGGGTTTAATCCGAAAGAAGAGTTTACAGAGATGCTGAAATAATAACGCGTTTTCTTTTTTGTTTTGTATTTCAATTATATTTTGAATTGACATTCAGCAAGTTCATTCATTTGTCTTGTTAGTTTTGATCAGTTAGTCTGGTTTAATTTCATTTATCCTTTAAATAAACCTAAAAGTTATTTTACCTCACTAGTAATGAGAAACAAATAGTCCTTGAGTCATTGATTTAAAAAAAAAAAAAGTTATCTTTGACTACTGACGTATGAAAACGTTTTAGTACCATTTAGCTCTCAGGGATAATTCACCCAAAAATGAAAATTCGGTCATCCTTTACTCCCCCTTTAAGTTTCAAGCCTGTATAAATTTCTTTTTGTTCTGCTGAACAAAAAAAGAATATATTTGGGAGAATGTTGGTAACCAAGCTGATCTCTTTTTTTATTATTATTTGTATACAGCAGACAATAAGATATTTGTACAGGCTTGGAACAACTTGAGGAGGAGTAAAGGTTGGCAGAAGTTTCATTTTTTGAGTGAACTATCCCTTTAATAACATTTATACAAACTGTCACCTACTTTTATAACAGTATCCGTATGAACAAACAATAGAAATATTATATAGTGTTGAAACATCTATAGTGTAAGTGACTACATGTAGAAATTATCTTTGTGTTCTGATAAGCTTAACCCACATTTAATGAATAATGATATGAGTTCTCATTAGTCATTACAAATTAGTCCATAGACATATATTGTGAAAAATATAACAGACAAATGTAAAACAGTCAGTGTTAGGGAAAGTTACTTTTAAAATAAATGTGGTACAATATTGCATCACTGTCCCTTGAAAAGTATACAATTGGATTACTTAGTTACATTTTATGGAAAGTATGTAAAACATTTACTTTTGACTTATTGTAAAGGCCATTTTCCTCCAAAAGTGAAATAAAGTGAAATGAAGGAAACGCACGCCTGAACAAGAGAGGGCACAACTTTACTCAAACAAACCTTTCAGCTGTGCTCCTCTTCTGGATCTCAATAAGAGAACACAATTCAACACTGTTATGTCAGCAATGAAAAATAATAACAATAAAATAAAACACAAATGTGTTTGAGTAAAAGTCATTTTTCTTATTGGTATGATTGAATTGGATCATCAAATGCCAGCAGCAGAGACATCGGTTAATAAAGTAAGAAAAAAATACAAGTAGACTATTTGTTTTATTTGACATAATTATTGCAAATTTTCTTAATATTCTGAGTTTGCATTTCACTGTTTTTATTAATTCTAAGGAATACTGAATCTGTTTTTTGTGCAAGTGAGATGAGTAAATGCATGCTCACATTATTGTAGTCTACAATAAGCACCGTGATAACATAACTCATGTTACTTGTAATGCATACCCACAACATAGCTGTATTTGGTTAATTTAATGTTGATTGTGCTGTTTTTACTTTATTAAAGCTGAATATTAGGTATACCCCTTCATGTCTTCATTTCAGATTTTGTATGTGAAGGGTAATTGGAGGATCTTGAAGATAAAACAAATATACATATTTACCGGTATGTTTTAAAAAGTTCACAATACTCCCACTGAATTTGTGAATAATATGCTTGAATTTTTGTTTGCTTCTCTTTTGTTTGTGAATAAAGTAGCGGGTGATATTATGAAATGGAAATGAGGCGGAAGCTGTTAAATTACTCCAGCCAAGGGAATTGATGCATGACATGAGTAATAACATTTGAAAAGTTTTTGCAACTGATCAGTTAGTCTCACTGTCTCCTAGTTGTCCTCTTCTCCTTTATATATATATATATATTTATTTTTACATTTTGTTTCAAATTAAGGTCTGGCTGCATAGGCCTACTCTTTACAGTGTAAAAACAAAAACAGATGCTATCCACCTTATTTTCTCAACACGGAAGTACTTTTTTTTTTTACTGTGAATGTGAGAGACTTAATGGTCGCTATGGTAACGAGAAGAATATATCAAAGTGCAGTCAACTGTAAAACTGTTTGCACAACCAGCGCGTTTATTAAGCAATATAGGCTACATTCAAATGATATGGTAAGAAATACAGTTTGCAATATCAAGCAGAATAAATAGCTGTTTTGTACAGCTAAAAAGAAGCAAATGAAACCGGAAGCCAGACATTAGCCTAATATTAAAAGGTTGCGCCCGAAATTTGCACACATATTATTTTAAACACCATTCATTTTAAAAACCATCAAGCTTCCAAGATTTATGTATCGTCAAATACAAATTAGCTTACTGTAGTGGCCTACTTCTGTATTATAAAACCGTAAAAGCCATTGCAACAAAGCAAAGCAAAGGTATGGAAGAATCTCAGGGACAAGAGTTCTCTGCCTCTCCAAAAAAAGCAAAAGTTTCTCCTCTTTTTAACGTAGAGGGAGCTGATTATTCCTACAGTGATTCCCGAACCCCTGCTGAGTGCAGCACCTCTACAGCAATTAACATTTTGACATGTTTGATCAATCATTCAGACTACAAAAGAAAAAAAGAAATAATGAAGTAAAGATTATTAGCCTGGATGCATTCTCTGTATTTGATCAGCGCTGTGCTGTTAGATCAAAGCATCGCACAAAGTGTGGAGAGAGACACAGCACCATAACACAAAAGTGTGCTTCCTCAACTGAAAAAAGATAAACATTATGCGGAGAGCAACCCCTCTGAGGTTTAAATGAACATTTCTGACTCCAGCAGAGCTGAAGTAGGTCAGTATTTGGGATTCCTTGTTAAAACTTGACAAGTGAACAGTTTTCCAAGCCAGATTAACAGTTCACACACAACAGTTTATAGATAAACATGACGGTACAGGCTACTCGATGAGATGAATAAACGTAACTCTTCAACAACTAAGTTACATAAATGTATCCACTTACCATTCAGAAACGTCCTTAACAGTTGCAACGTGAGGCTCCATCTGTGTCAGTCTGACTCTGGTTCAAACCACAGCGGCAACATTCTAATCTGAAAAATGAAGCCTAGCCGGAAGTGCGAAAAACTGCAATACATTTCAAATCCGCTAGAGGCCAGTCCCAAAAGGGAGCAAATATCCATAGACATCATGTGAAAATGTCCGTTTTCACAGCATAAATTCGTTGTTTAAAAATATTTTTACAGTTTGATCCCATGGACTTTTATTGTATTTTTCGATAGGTTCCGAGTGCCATGACGACTGTGAGGGGGGTGATTTTTTTTCTAACTCATTTAGATCATGACCGAGATATAGGCCGAGTGAATTTGACGTCTTGGCCATGATCTGACACAACACATCATACCACCTCTGTATCCTTTCTTTTTTTTTTTATTCAACTTTCATAAAAGCTTATAGTGACATTTTACAACAAACATAAGACAGACACATAATGGGGAAAACACATAACAGATCTTGTACAGAGTAAAACATTAAATTCTACAAACTATTTTTTCCAAAATTTGAGATGTTTTTATGCACTTCTTATTTCTAGTGATTGAATTCAAAGAGTCATGGAATATTTTAACATCTTTACAAAAGAAATTAAATTCTGAACATTTGTATTTTGTATTTCCCAAGATTTTCATGGCTCCACCCATACCCCCATAAACAACCTCAACCCCGTTCTTCAGAGACAGAGAGTCTATGGAAGACGTCACAGACGCTTTGTTCAAAATGTGAAAATGTGTCAAAGAAATGTGTCAAGAATACTGGATTCTGTAATTTTGAAAATTCATTTTTTATTTAAACTGCATTACTATTATTGACATTTTTCCTGAGAGAAATTATTCTGTTAAATTGTTGCCATATCCGAAGGACATGTAAAGGATTGTCTTCTGATTCTGAAACAGGGAATAAAAGCTAGACTAGATGTCTCCAGCGGAGTCTCTATCGTCATCACTGTCAGCCATCTTGTCACAGGTAATCTGGCAGGCTCTGTACCTGATGTAAGATGAGTGATCAGCACGGTCACAAATACTCTTATCTCGTTGAAATCTTGACGAATTTACAAAGGGTTTGTTTTTTTTACACAGGTTATTAACGTGGCTATAATTCTGGATGATTATTTATTTATACACTTATTATGCATAAGTACGCAGTGTCACAATTACATCTCTGACGTTTATAACAAACCAAACCGTTTGAAAATAGGTAGAAAATTGAGCAAGTTATGGTTATTCAAAAAGTACACCATTAAACACAATGTTATGAGTGAGCGAGCTTCCTGTCGACCTCCATTGTCTGCGGATGAGACATCTAGCCTTTATTATGGATATCTATGGATCTATATAGAAAGACATTATACAGATCAGTGGAGGGGAGCAGCAGCTCATTTGCATTTAAAGGGACCCACACAATAACAGCGTTTTCCCTCACACCCAAAAAGGGTTAACTTTGACAAGCAATAATCAAAAAGTGGTATTTTGAGCTGATTTCTGGGGACACCAGAGATTATATTACATCGTGTGAAAATGTAACTATTTATTAGTTTTATGTAAAAATAGATTTGGTCTTTTTTTTATAAACACTTTATTTACTTTATCACTCATTTACACCACTCACATAATCTGATCTTTTCAACAAGTGTGTTAAATGTAGAATTGCAAAAAAAAGAAGAGAAATGTCCCCAAATATGCTGACTGTTAGTTCAATTGCTAACAGTTCACTAATTTATAACTAACATACATGTTTATACAGGTTGCCTCCTACTGTTTAGACACAGACAGAATCATTCACAGACAATAGAAACACAATGGAGTTAAATGACTAAATTAACCAAACAGAATTGACCTCCTGTGGTTTAGGAAAATGAGTTGCTATATTTCAGTCACATAATCAGCGTCCTAATGAGTGTTTTTTCCCCACCTCATCTGAATTTAGATCTATAATTGCAAACATTAGACTGGAGATGTGCTTTCACAGTAGAATATAGCTCTTCACCCGTGTCTGGTTTATTTAGATCGACATGCAGCTTATTGTGTTATTGGTAGCCCATTGTTTGATGATGTTGTTCGTGTTTCTATTAGATTGTAATTTGTGTGATTTTCATTTGAATGTTTTCGCTGGCCTTTATGACAGGTATTCAATGAGGTTGTTTTGCACTGCTGTGCAATTTAAGGATAAAAGATTCCCCTTACCTGTGCTGCCTCTTGTTGGTAATACGTGGTATTGCAATAAATGTATAAAATTAGGTGGTGAGTGGAGAAATTCAGTCTGTGGGCTTTACAAATCTACATTGATTGAAAACCTGGCTGGCATTCAAAACCATTTAAGTTTTAAGTAAAAGATTTGTGTTTTTTCCCGTCCTTAAATTAGATATTGTAGCAACACTTTGCAATAAGATTCCATTTGTTAACATAAACTAACAATAAAAAAAAATACTTAGCATTTTTTTAAATCTTTAGTTAATGTTAATTTCAACTTTTACTAGTACATTATTAAAATCAAAAGTTGTATTAGTTAATATTATTTAGTGGACTTGAGCTAACATTGAACTAACAATGAACAGTTGTACTTTTATTAACTAACATCAATGAATAAGCAGCCTACTGTAACAAATGTATTGATCGTTTTTAGAAGCGTTTTGTTGAGAAGATATATGGTTAGGTAGGCCTATAACTGAAATATTATACTATTATTTCATTAATAAATAACAGTGTCCACATGAAATGATTACGGGTGGCATTTGGACAGGCAGCACATCATGACAATAAACAAACAGGATCAGTCAAAAGCTGTAATATTGTTTATTAAATATTGCATAATGAGGCAATCACAGCAGTAAATAGTGTTTTAAATTCATTGTAATTGTAACAGCACTGCAAATAAACAAAAACAAACCAAAAAAAAAAATGCAAAATTCGCCTCTGCATACAGACCACAAAGTAATAATTAAACATTACACATCTCAGGTGTCATCTCACACTCTTCAATCAATCATGTGATTGCGGCAAAGAACTCGGTAATTGTCTTGTGTGACACACTTGGGCCAAAATGGTACTCTTTAAACATCCTTAAAAAGTAACATGTTTACCTCAAGGCAAAATAATAATAAAATGAGGCACAGTTCAATGAAGCCATGAGACAGAAAGGCATTTCAATCCCAACACAGTGTCAGAATCACTCGTTCATTCATATGAGACGGCCTGTGTTACGCAAGTCTCTGTGCTTTCCTAATATTCTTCATTTAATATAAACTGTAATATTTATAGAGGTTGCTGTAACTTCAATCACTTTCATTCATTTATACTTTACATATTTACAACTTAGAATAGGAAAACTGTGTGTGAATTTCAACTTTGTTCACATCCAAGTTAAAAGTTTCTCAGAGCACTACATTCAGATATGCTACGCTATTATATAACGGTTCAAAAGGCCAAAACGTATATCTCCGAGTTCATACACCATATAGAGATCGCATCTATTTGAATTCCTCATCGATCTTCTATGTGATTACTTCTTGACAAAAGTTTTAGCAACAGC